AGCTGTAATTATAATCCACTGTGTTTATTTGCATGCTCCCTGAAACTATAACTTCAAAGAAATACCTGTTGGAGCATCAAAATTTTATTTTGATGTGATATATGAAATTAAAGTGTTACTAAAATGAGTCACTAATAAGATGCTCTATTGACTTGGCATTTTCATCACTAGACTGCCACTTCATAATGTTCTAATTTTTGAACCTACTGACCCCAGCAGCCTGAATTTATAGCGTATCAATCAGTACATGGCACATCAGTGTGTTAGTGGCCCTAGCTGCATAAAATTTCATACAGTCTCCAGAAAATAAAACTTCAGATATTGCATTACATAGCCCTAATAATAGCATTAGGAAGACCCACTTAGCAATACTAATGTTGGAGCTTGTAACTCCAGTCAGACTGCAAAGAGTAAAACATTTCAATATACCTTCTAGAAGAGGAGGGCTAGTTTGCTTCTTGCAGGCCTAACAGTGAACAATAAGTTATCCTAACTTGCCTGATATCTTTGGGAAGCTCTGGAAGTTTCATATTTTTCTTGATGGCATGGTGAGAGATTGCAAGGACTGCCATCCCCAGGCATTCATTTTCAATTTCGTGAACTTCTTGATCATTTTTAGGATCACGAACTGGTGCCAGGCCTTTCACTAGATCATATTGTCCCTTTAAAAAAAAAAAAAAAGGCATTAGAATTGGCATTTGGTCACAGGACCACAATCTCCTTGAACAGCAAAGGCTGAAACTCATGAAAAGAAGGGGTAGAGAAAGAAGGGAAGAGCTGTGCAATAGAATAAGTCTTCTCTTAGATCAGTAAAATAATAATACAGGGAAGCATTAATCACACCATAAACCTGCCTATATGAGAAGAGCATCAAGATCTGCGCTCCGCAAAAGTCTTTTAAAATGACAGTTTCTGGAACACAAGTGGAATCACCACATGGACTCCAGCACACCCATTCCTTACAGCATCCACAGTGCAGTGGATTATCAAGTATGGTTTTGTCACACTAGGTTCTCAGCTAGCACTGCTCAGATCTTTCCAAATTCCCTGTTTACTCCTCTATGTTAGCTTACCAAAAATCAACTTTTTTACTAGCTAAAGAAACCACACCCTTCTAGCATTTTTTTTGGTGTACCATCATATTTTTTTTGGTGCAGAATAGGCACTTAATCTCTGCTTCTCATCCACTGATCCCTTTAGTGACTTCGCTGCTCCATGGCAAAACTACAGCTCCAGTCTCCCAGTGACAGCCACCTTGCTCTGAAGCTGCTTGAGAAATACTTGACAGTCAAAGAGCAGAGATGCTTCTGTTGCATTATATTAGCACTAGTGTTCTTCTTTTTGACTTCTCTTTCTAGATGGCGTGATTTAGCAGCAAATTTTTGCTAATGTAATATTGTCGGACAATATTAATTGAGGTTCTTACCCATTAAGCAATTGGAGAGGTATTTTGGCTCTTTTCACTGGCACTCAAAAAAATTAAAGAGGAAAGAAAGATGGACACAATCAGCTTTGCGGCATGCTTTCAAGCAGTAATTTTGCAAAGCTGCATAAATGAACATAGGTATATGTTCACATCCTGAATAAAATAAAGCATGAGCTGATTATGCAATAAAAAAAACAACTTTCCTCCTTTCATTTCTTTGGAATGGAAGTGGCACCACCAAAATGCACACTTAGCTGTGGCTAACTTGGTATTTTATTTGATTGTGGTTTCACAACAGCAGTGTTCTTTTTTGTAGCCTCAAGCTAGCTCATTTCTAAAGGGCACAAACATATTTAAATCTGAAAATTCTGTAGTTACTTTAACTCCAAACTAACAGTAAACATGTTTTTCTCCAATATATTTACCTTGTTCATTTCACAAACCTCCATCAACTTCAATCTTTTGAAGAGATTACTTCCCTTTTCCTTGCTGAAAGCAGAAATTTTCTCGCTTGCAAAATTATCTGTGTGTGTGAGTTAACTTGTTTTGGTTAAGAGCATAAGCCTCTGAAAGAGGGGCCCTGCCTGCTTGCCAGGTAGAACACACTACATGTGCTACCAACAAGTGGAAAGTGCAAAGGAAAAAGCTTGTAAGCAGGCTCTTGGACAGTGCATTACCAGGCAATGTTTTAACACCATGCAATAAAATTTATTGAAAGGACACTATATTATCATAGCTTTAAAAATTCCTGTCATTCAGCTGTAGAAGTTATAAAGTACAGAAGCTGTATAAAAAATGTTGCACAAAAGGTGGTAGCATTTATATCCAAAAAGATGTTATGTTAAAGAAAGTATGCTCTAAAAATACAGCCCTATTTGGACTGCGTAAGAGAGTTTCTTCTAAGTTCTGTATATGGGCAAATGTAACAAATTCTCTTTGTTCTACTATGCAGAGGTATGAAGAAAATGCTTATTTATATGAACAGATATAAGCTGTTGATATAGAGCTTTAGTGTTTGAAATGTAAAGAAAAGCTTTAGTGTTTGAAAATAGGTCTTTAAAGCAGACAAAACTTCTGTATTAAATTGATCTTGTGTTCCTAATACAGCCGACTGGCAAACAGCTCTTACCTGTGCAAAAATGTATTCTAAGGAGTGTGCATCAAGTATGGGGGTTCCTTCTGGAGCGAGCTTCTTCTCATAGGAGTTCTTGGACTTCTTTGGGGAATGTCTCCACACGGAGGGTTCACTTTCGCTTGTCCCGTGCCAGTTTGTAAAGTAGTATCTTTCAAGAAAAAAGAGAGTGAACTTAAAAACTTTTTGGGGAAGCCCCGTTTTACTCTAGATACATATTTTAAAATTCCAGAATTAAATAGTAAAGGTACAAGCCAAAAGCTTTAATTCTTCTACCCTGAGATTACAGCTCACAGTGGTCCATTGCCAAAAGTGCACTCCTAGTCTGAGGACCTGGGGAAAAGTGGTGCATTAGTCACAAGTCTCAAGCATTTCCATTGCACAGCATCTCAAACACTCTTAACTCGCAATGTCATGATGTACTACCTGGCTCCTGCTTGTGCAGGCCACCAAATAAGAACGTACTGATCAGCTGGCAGTGATGCTCTAATTATCTCACACTGCTTGAGCAGTGTAATGTCTTCCCTGAGCCTCAGCCAACAGATGACATTTCCATTCCAGGATGAAACGGCTCATCCAACGGGCCAACCTTCTCTATGGATAGCCATACACAGCACAAAACTGCCCGAGGACCGTCCCTGATGGCATTACACCTCCAGCGACACCTTGGAACATCTACTGCCCTTTGGGTTAAGGGGGATTATTAAGTGCAGCTGGTATAAAAAATTTCTGTGTATATTATAAAAAAGCTTTCTACTCATATCTGTACACCAGGCCCCTTAATCACAAATTAAGTAAAAGCCTACTGAAGCAGTTGGCATCTGAAGAAAATTAATGATTTGTTGAGTCCAATTGTCTGTCAGCACCTTTTGAAAAATCTGTCCCCAAACCATTTCACTAATTTGTAATTATTTGGGTTCCAGTAACATCTTAAATTAAGTTTAATTAAATCTGGTTTGGATCAATGTTTCTTTTGCAAGAGTACATGCTTTGCAAATGACCCTGACATGATCAATTAAGAGGTCAGGGCAGAGCAAAACTATCTACTAAACAGGAAGGATTTCTATAAGAATACACAAACAGCAGCACTAGCAAGTGTGCAATGCAAAAATACTGACTAATACAACAGGAGGTGAGAAATTGGACATTTCTGATGGACAAGGGCTACAGTAAGTGTTAAACAATTTATTTTAGAGGAACATGTGCAGCCTTGTCAGCTAAGGTTTTAATGTCTGTCTGAATGTGTGCTAAGTAAAATCAGCAAGAATCTCAGTGATCAAAATGAGAATAAATAGCTTAGTGCAGGAAAAAGTCAAATGAATTTGAATGGTAAAACACTGTACATAAAAGTTAAAAAAAAAAAAGCTTATATGTAGAAAATGTTGATGCATGTGATGAGTATATCGTACTCCTGAACTGGAAATACATGTTTTCTGTATTTCTATATGCTGAAAATATAAACTGCTTTATAAACTATAAGGACACTTGCAGTATTATAAATAAGAGGCCTTCTGTTTATCATAGAATCATAGCAGCGTTAAGGTTGGCAGGGACCTCTAGAGATCATCTAGTCCAAGCCCTGCTCCAGCAGGGACACCTAGAGCTCGTGGCACAGGGTGGCATCCAGGTGGGTTTGAAGATCTCCAGAGAAGGAGCCTCCACAGCCTCTCTGGGCAGCCTGAGCCAGGACTCTGTCACCCTCACAGCAAATAAATTTTTCCTTAAGTTCCTGGGGAACTTCTGGCGCTTCCGTTTGTGGCCATTTCTTCCTAGTCCTGTCAGTGGCCACCAGTGAAAAGAGGCCAGCCCCATCCTCCTCACTGCCTCCCTTGAGGTACTCATAGACACTGATTAGATCCCCTCTCAGCCTTCTCTTCTCCAGCTGAACAGGCCCAGCTCCCTCAGCCTCTCCTCACAGGGCAGATGTTCCAGGCCCCTGATCATCCTCACAGCCCTGCGCTGAGACTCTCTCCAGTAGTTCCATGTAATAAATAACAAATTCCACGTTTAAATAACAAATATGAACATTGCCCAAGTATTTTCTTTAGATAACAAACCAAAATGTTGCCCAATCAGTTTCATTTCACATCTAATGCAATAAAAATTGTAAGAGATATCTTAGAGGAAAGGAAGACAGCAGTAAGTCCACTGGCAAATGTTTGTGAATGCTATTGAGGAAGAAAATATGCACATGAGTGTGTATTTTAAAATACATAATGACTTTGTGATTTTCCCCCATTCAAAAGGGGAATTTGTGGATTAATGCCCCTTTCTGCTGTGATGGAGGTCAGTGTGTAACAGTCCCAGCACAGAGGCAAAACCTTAAGCCAATTACTTACAAAGCCAATTACTACTTTTTATCAGCTGAGCACTATGTGCTTTCATTACTTGTGTTGTCTTCACAGCATGCAGGCCATTCAAATGAAGAATTATGTATCAAACTATTCTTAAAGAAACAGGACTTTCTGTATTGTTTCTATTTTTTTCTATCTTTTTGATAAATTGCCAAAAGAAAAAAAAAGCATGAGTAACAACACCCACACTAGGGCGTTTGCCACTAGGGCAAAAACCCACGACAAGTACTTGGAGACACTATATAATTTCTTCAGTTCAAACACAAAAATCAAAGGAAAACAAATCCTTCTGCCTGCAGGAAATTACTTTGTTTCCTTATGCTCCCTTATAAAATGAATTGTAATTAACAACTACAATTCATTTGGTACCTTCCTGAAAATAATTATGGGCAAGTTATTGTGTGTTGTTTGTAATTGAGAGGATAATTTGTTCCTTTACCTATTAACTGACTTGCCTTGGCTCCCTTTGCTGTGCAAAGAAGTGTTGACAATCTCTGGCTTAAGCCTAACCCAACCACAGAATAGTTAAGCTCCTCCTCCATCAGCTTGTGTGCTAATTAGCCAGGATATTACAAAATACTGCGGTTTTTACTTTTCTTTCCTTTTTTTTTTTCTTTTTGTCTGGGGTAAGTTTCCAGTAAAAAGCAAAATCTTTTTAAATCTATTTCCGTGTATATATGGTAGGCCAAAAGTATGCCAAATGGCACAGATCGGTCGGGGAGAGGAGATGAATGGGAAGCTCACACCATCAGAAAGCAAATTTTGAAGCTTTCAGCACTGGAGGGAAAATCTAAACAGCTAAAAGCATTTGAAACTATTTAGTCATATATCTTCATTTTTTATATATAATTTTGCTAGGATATTACTAAATCAAGCCCACATAAGTAATGAAATGTCAGAAATAAGGTTGTTCACACAAGACTGATTTTGTCTCTACACGACTAGATACTGCCTGATACATTTCAATATTAAATAAGGCCAGAATACTTTCCTTTTTTAAAAAAAAAAACAAAAGGGGGAATCCAGCCTCTTGCAGAGCTCAGAATAAAGAGCATTAATTTAGAGAACAGTCATTCTGAATCCTGCATCGCTCATAATTTTCAGTGCTCAGCCCTGCTGCAGTTGAGGTTCCCGAGCCAAGACTAGCAATGAATCAGAAATCCCACTTCACCAATACACTGCAGTATTCATAGGCAGACAGGAATCTTTACACTGTAGCATCTAAATTCATATAATCTCTCTTAAATTTGTTTTATATTATGTTTAACACATGTAATTGGCCCAAATTTTGCAATTTTTCATGCATGAAGTACATCGGACAAAAGAAGGACCTCTGCCTATCTCCAATCCCAGCTCCAAAGCTTAAAAAAATAAACGACTGTAACAAAGCTGGGCATTTTCCCTAGCTTTCTTTTATGGAATGTTAGAAGAGAAAAAATATGCAGAAAATAGATTTCAACATTTTAAAAAATCCTGTCTAAATACTTAAAATTTGACAGGGTTGTAAACAGCCGAAGATGATTTATAACAGGGAGCTGTCCAAGCAATTCTAAAGAATCTGGTTTTATCAGACACCAATGTAATATGTGGATGAAAACGGAGTGTACCCAGAGGGTGTTCTCACCACCCACCTAACGCAGTGGAAATGAAACGTGTTCCTGTAGGGAATTCTCACCATTCACCCACAGCAGAAATATGCGTACATAAAAAACATTGGAAATTATTTGTTAAGGATTGAATTAAAAACAGCATCATGCTTTGAAGAGAGAATCATATTCCCGCAACTACATTTTGAAAATGCTATTTTTTTTTAAGAGAAAAGCAGACCGTATCAAAGAATTCCAGTACCAGGATAAAACGCTCCAGATTCACACTGTAAAAAGAAAAAGAGTTTTATGGATTTGTTCCTTTATGGTTTTCAATTCCTGATTTTTTTTAAAGGTTATATAGAAAAGGTAAAACTTCTGGAGACATTTCAAGCTCTTCCTGTTAATCCCTTATCTATGGTGTGAAGAGCAAAATGTTTCTTTTGGTTTTGCTTTCTTACATCTTAAGAGAGCTCAGTAGTAAGCATTAAAGCACCTACATACCTTTGAAAAGACAATACTAACACCATGGTGTCCACAAAAATCACTTTGCAGATGTTTTTACACTTACCTCATTCTGTAATGGAGCCGGTAGGACGTTTTTTCATCTATCTTAAAGACCTGGTTGGGTGCATACCAGAGTCTCTTGTTCTCATCAAACAGCGCAAAGAGATTATGGCACAGTGGAGATATACCTGTTAGGAAAATAAATGCATTAATTCAGAAGGTTGCGATACATACACACATCCCAAAAATATAAACACATAAAGCAAACATCTGATCATGCAGTATCTAGAAACAAAAAAGATAGTATAATTAGTGTTTTTTTTTAAAAAGACACATAAAAATAGGGAATGTTTGTCAACTTCATTGATTTTATCACGTATAAACTGTCTGATATCTCAGATACTTCTGACGTCAAACACTTTGAAATCTTGATTTTGCCAAGAGCTTAAAAACCTTTACCTTTTCCAGACCACTAAAAAGTTTTGTTTTTCCTTTTTTTTTTAATAAAATCACCCATAAATACTGCAATTTTGTACTCAGTATTACTTTATTGCTAAATTTTATTCACTTACTTAGTTGAAAAGGAAGGCTTTAGTGAAATGATGAAAACTCCCTCCCTATCAGCAAACTGGCAGAAAAACATAACATCATTTTTCCATTCCTTACTAGTCCAACAGAGAGCTTTCCAACAAACGGCAGGTTCTGACAGCAGTTTAGGCTGATCTGCATTGACCTTTACATCTTCTCATCAAAAAAATAAGCTCTAGCTTGTTCACAAGACTAATGTTATCTGAATTCTTTGCTTCAGTTTCCTCTTCAATAGGAGGCAGCACCTTTTTGCCAGGGGTGTATTTAAGGTCCCGGCCACGCAGGCATCTCCATTGCGGCATGAGCCTAAGTGCCTCTCTGAACTAGGGCCAGCTACTGAGCTCAATGTTCAGCTCCTGCAGAATTCACTCAAAATAATTCTATTTTGAGCTGGGGAGAGAGAGGAGAAGGGAAGAAGACAAGCCAAGGGAATAAAAGCTGAATATGCTCATTGCAAAGTTCACAGGACATGCAGTTGGGTAGCCACCACCTCCTGCAAGTAACCTGGCAGCACATAGGTGCCATTGGTAGTTTAGCTCTCAGTAATTCAAGTAATTTCACAACAGAGGCTGCATCACAGGCTTGCTGAACCCATAAGCCTCTTGTATTTCCCTTAGCTAGGCTGTGGACTTAGCTAAGAACAGGAGAAAGTAGAAGGAAGTTCCCCTAAGGAACATTCCCTTAGAGGCAGGTTTTTTAATTCTTCCAATTTTCATTAACACCTATTCAAAAACAAATTGAGTACTTACTTGATGGGGCTTATCCTTCAAAATTCCATTATTCTGGCTCTTATAGGGAAGAAAACTAATTAGGTAAGTGAATTGGAAGATAAACTTGATGTCTCAAGAACCAAGATGTCTCAGGAACAAAGATGACAAGGGAAAAGAAAATACTTGAAAGTTTCAGGGAAACATGATGATATTTTGTTCCAATTAGCCCTCTCCAAAAAGTGGGAGGGTTTTAACAGCACAGATCTTGTCAGCCTTACTGACTAGTATATGAGGTAAAAACAGGTTTTTACAACTTAATTGTACATTCACATCTCCTCCTAAGGGCAGCCTAATCCTACCCTACTAAAATAAAAAAATCAGTATCTGTAACTGCCAGAAAGCAGGAGGCAAGGTCACCACGTACAAGAAGCTCTCCAGCAGTTTGCCCACTCCAAACAACTTAACTAGTGCCCAAGCAGACCCTTGCCAAGGTTTCCACCCAGGCTGTGTATCACTGTGTATTTCTCCAACAAGCACTGACATACACAGAGAGAGAAGCACCACTTTTCATGCTGTCAGGCCTTGTCACTGAAAATACATATAGGACCCGTATACTCACAGCATTTCTGAGCAGCTTCAATGCACAGTTCCTCCGAGGTAAACTCGCCACTGGTGTAAGAAATGGGAAGTTTATCCGGCAGGTAAAAGAGCAGCTCTAAACCCTGGTGCTGAGCTTCCAGGTTTACTTCACTCTTCTTTGTGCTCCTCATTTTTGCACAGAAAGCCATGGCTTTGCAATCTTCTTTTACGTTTAGATACTGGAAGTGGAGGATAAAATATTTAAAGAAAACATGATAAAAAAAGAGTTTGATGGCAAAAACACCTGATACCGAGTAACATAAACAGTACAATTTAATAGTCTAAGTTATATTTGCTTAAAAAAAGTTTTATTATTACAATCTACATTAACACTTACATATTTCTGACGCTATTCTCCTCTCTCACCATTTGTTTAACTCCTTATATTTAATTTGCCATGGTAAAATATGCTTTATTTGAGAGTTCCTTTTTATTATTCTTGTTCTCCATAAGGAAAGAGTAGCACCAAGGAAGTTTCATGCAATGTCCCTAAGACTGCCAAGATCGTGGGCAATGCAGCTGGGACTCTAAAGGAAAGGCTTTATATCCAGTGCTTTATACCCTCTGCTTAACCAAAAGGCCAGTAATGGAGCTACATGAGTCCAGGAACTACAGGGTCTCTGCTGCATGTTTTGCTAAACTTCATCTCTTTTAATAGCAAAAGCCCCAAACACCTACTCTAGAGTGCATTTACTTAAAACTTCCACCAAAATAAAGGGAAAAAAAAATCCAACATACCTGCATTTATGTGACTGTCTGGTCCACTCAGCAGCTGAAACAGGTTATCTTCACGCTTTCCAAGAGCAACTTGACTCTGGCTGAAAGTAAGAAAAAAAAAAGTGTCAGGAATTGCTTTGTACAGTTTTATGAAAGACAAAATATAAGCTGAGCCTGATGCAGAGGTATTTGCAATCAGGGGGAATCTTTCCATTAATATCACTGAAATTCAGATCAAGTCTCAAAGACAGAGCAGCATCTAGGAATACAGTCAGCACATTCTATGCAAAACTACTGTTTTCTTTCGAATCTCTGCACACGCTATTTGAGACACAAACAAAAAACAGGAGAGATTTAGATTTTCAGAGCATCAACAGTCTGTTTGGTTTCATGTTTATGGTATCCCTTCCTTCAGCTGTGACAGCAAAGGAGCATTTTCCTCATTGCTCCATCTCCTTCCTGGCTTTTGAAGTCACATATTCTCCCCATTTTTGTCTCTATTTTGTTTATTCCAGTTCTTCCCTAGTCTCTATTGTTTCCCCTCCTACCAAATTTTCATGTTTTGTTCTTTGTTTTTTTGTTCTCCTTTCCTCTGTGAAAGGTGCAGAGCCTTGCATGGACTGCCAAGAAAAGGGGAAACTACTCAAAGGGGTGAATATCGCTGTGGGGGGTCACATTTCTTTCTGAGGAACCTTGTTCACAGGGAATGGAGCCTGTGATTTCATGGCCTTCGAGCAGCAGGGCCCCTTCCAAAAACCGACATTTTTTCTAAGCTTTATCTGTGCATCCCATTTGCTAAAAAAAAAAAAATTGGGGTTGAGTTTTTTTTTTTTTTTGTCTTGTGTCGATTGCAAGAAATAACCTCAGTACAACAGCAAACTAGCATCCCTTTTAAATGTTAAGCGTGGCCTGATGCCAAGACTGTAAAGGGTTGTAGAACCAATGGAATTTAAGAAGCAAGAAAAGCAGGTGTCCGTAAAAAGCCAAGAGAGCCCCGGCTGCTCCTCCTCCTCCTGGCATGGGAAAACGCCGGACCTGCCTCAGCTTTGGGAAAGGATTCTCAGCTTGCTGAAGGGAGTGGGGATGGGGGACCCTGTTGTGCCTCTGGAAACACTCCTCTCTTTTGGCTTTGTATCCGAGTGCATCATCTAGAGAGTAGCAATGTCCCATGGAGGACCCTGTGCTTGGAGGAGCGTTGGTCCAAGGCTGGAAGACTCTTCCCTGAATATTCTCCATGCCTTCCTTCTCCTCTCCCATCTCTGACAAAATGTAGTCAAGCTAAATTAGCTTTATCTGTTTATTTTGTTTTTCTGTGATAACATTAGGCCTTAATTTGACGTTGCAGACTTCAGGAAATATTGCTCAAGAAGCCTTAGGGCATGGTTTGCAGAAAGCCTGACATTACAGCTTACGTATTCCAGCAGAGGTGATGCTATCACAGAAAAAATAACATTTAACAGCGCAGCACCCATTTACAATTAAATTGCGTGTTCCCCCATCCATGCCACTTGAATGCTAAATGTGAGTTCCCAGACACTTTTCCTCAGCAAGAACAAGGTGAAGCAGCAACTGAGAGCATGATTACTGGAACATGCAGCCAAGCCAGGAATTATTTTTGTACGGCACAAGAAAACTTAAATGCAAAAGATAATGGATGTAGTTTTAATCTAACTGAAAACACTTCTGTTTAAACTAAATCTCTTGCAATTGGAAATCAATGCATTTTAATGTTTGTGTGGGTTTGGGCTTTAAAGGGAAACAAAACCAATGCACTTGTGCAAATTCATAAATCAAAACTTTTGCTTTTTAATACAGTGTTCTTTGGTTCTACTTCATAGCTCATACTCTTGTTTCTAACTATAGCAGCAATTCCCAGAATACTCAGGAGCCCTAAGCACTGCTTCATTTACAGTACACATCTTTCACCCGGGTGAACCAAATGTCTACTCCCCAACTCACTATTTACTGACAAGTCTTCCAGTATAAGGAAACCTCCTTTTAAAAAACATACCTTAATGACTTGAGGAGTCTTCCAAAACTCCTACATGACCAAGGAAGCACCTTCTCTCTCCTAGCAGCAATATTTAACACTAGTCCTACAGAACAGCACTGGGACATATGGGTCCCAGGAGAGCGCAGGCACGCGGGGCCCGTCGTTATCCACATCCTGATGCTGATCCCTTAGCCACCTTCCAAAAGCTCCCACCTCAGCTCCAGGGCTGGCTCTTCCCGGCCGGGACACCCACCAGCAGAGGGGGACAGAGGCTGGATGTTCTCCCGAGGGGACAAGGACTTTGGGTGCACCCACACGTGCCCAAACCTCCAGCCAACCTGGCTGCACTAGGTTAACGATGACCACCCCAAGCAAGTTCTTCTAAAACCCTCATAAAATCATGGTAACACTGACAGGAAAAGATCAAGAGGCAGAGGTAGGTTGCTAAATCACTTTGTTTCTGGTTTTGCTATTAGACTATAATACGATTAGAATTTGGAGAAAAGCATTTGTTTAAAACTTAATTTCCTCCTTAAGCTCCACTAAATAAAATACACCCATAAACTCAAAAACAGATTCCTGTGAGTAAGGCAATAAAGGATAACATTGTCGGTTGGGGAATAAGGATTTTGGTGCAGATATTTCAGCATGCCAACAGCCAACCAAACCTGGCTCCGAGTTTTTTTTTTTAGCTCTCCCGATCCAGGCTCAAGCAGGACGCCAGCGTGTGCAGAGCCCCCGGGCACAGGGCTGCTGCAGCTCCGTTTGTCCCTTCCAGCAGGACGCACCTGAGTTTTCTCCTGCCGGGGCCGCCCCGTGCACCCTTCGCTCGGGCAGCCCCCAGATTGAGCCAGGCCAAGCGCCGGTTGGATCAGGGAGCTCATCCAGCTGGGAATGAAGCGAGGAGAAGAACTGGTTTCTCTCACCCCGCTCAATTCCT